CCTGTGCTGGTATGAGTGGATCAGACACAGCAGTGCTGCTGGAGTTTTTAAACACCTCAGTGTCACTGCTGGACTGAGAATAGTCCACCAACCAAAAATGTCCAGCCAACAGCGTCTTGTGGGCAGCGTACTGTGACCACTGATGAAGGACTAGAGGATGACCAACACAAACTGTGCAGCAGCAGATGAGCTATCGTCTCTGACTTTATCTACAAGGTGGACTGACAAGGTAGGAGTGTCTAATAGAGTGGACAGTGAGTGGACACAGTGTTTAAAACCTCCAGCAGCACTGCTGTGTCTGATCCACTCATACCAGCACAACACACACTAACACACCACCACCACGTCAGTGTTGCTGCAGTGCTGAGAATGATCCACCACCCAAATAGTACCTGCTCTGGGAGGGTCCATGGGGGAACAGACCACTGAGGAACAGGGTAACAGGGGGCTAACAAAGTATGCAGAGAAACAGATGGACTACAGTCTGTAACTGTAGAACTACAAAGTGCACCTATATAGTAAGTGGAGCTGATAAAATGGACAATGAGCGTAGAAACAAGGAAACAGTCATAATGTTATGCCTGATCGGTGTATCTGTGTGTGTGTATGTAAGGATTTTCTAAGCCCAACCCTGAACCTAATCATTTATTTGGTTTATTTGGTCCTGACCTTGCAGGTTAGCTTTGCTTTCCTGTTTTCATACATAGTCAGAAAACGTACATACTGAAAATGCACGACACATAATCACACATAATCTGACACACAGTCTACTGCTGTTTAGGTCACCAGATAAAACAGTGCAAAATTGGAATCAGTATTTGCTTTGACTCATGCACAAGATCATTATGGGCCTTTCTCGTACTGGACTCTGACTCACAGGAAACGATTAGCAGATATGTGGCGATGGGTTTTGCATTCATTGCACCCGAATTATGACTTGTGGGTTGATTCACTAAAGGTTGTTTTAGGCTTCATTTGAGCCATTTTTGTCGTGTGGATTGAGCTTCCTGTGTCCAGACTCTGCACGTGTATTGACATGCCTGTGTGGTGTGTGTGTGTGTGTGTGCATAGTGAATATGCATCAGTGTTAAAGCTTTTCCCACACACACCCCCACCCCCCAAACCAGCATGAGCCTTTGTCTTTCTCAGGGGAAGGCAGTGGCGTTGCCGTGGCGACTGCAGTAACAGAAGGCTGAGGGGTTTCACTGTCTTGTGACCTTCACAGAGAGGGTGACCGTCACTGAAACAGACACAGCCGCTCTTCTGTCTGCGGAAAGTGTTAAATCACCAATAAATAAGTAAATAAAACGCAGCTCCTCTGTATTGCGTGCGCACACACACACAAGCACGGTCAGCTTCAAGTACCTTCCATTAGCATTACAAAGCCATTATGCTAATAAAATAAAAGGCTGCATTATGCAGCCCACTGGCTCACTAGAGAAACGGCTGCACACGTGAGGGTTTGCCTGCATTTGGCTCCACATTCAAAATCCGGATCAAAGGCAACAGAAAGGAGAGCATCACTGGCTTCAAAGACAAGCTTAACTAATCTGTTCACTGCGAGAGCATCTGCAGTGTACAGTTCCTCATCCAACCAAGGAAATGCATCATCTATATGCACCTCGTTTCAGTCACTATTTCACTGCTTGGGGCTATCTATCTTTCCATCTTCCTACCTCTGTCCGTCTGTCTGTCTGTGTATCTGTCTGTATGTCTGTCTATCTATCTATCTATCTATCTATCTATCTATCTGTCTATCTATCTACCTATCTATCTATCTATCCACCACATCTACTTTTGTCTCTATCTATCTATCTATCTATCTATCTATCTATCTATCTATCTGTCTGTTTATATGTGTATCTATCTGTCTATCTCTGTGTCTGTCTAAAACCTATATGTGTCTTTTTCTTTATCTGTATGTCTCTCTGTCTGTCTTTCTCTCTGTTTATCATTCAGTACCTTTTTCAGGAGCTTTTAAAGTAATTAAACTCTTTAGACGTTCGGTTCCTATCACCATGACTTTGAACAATTCTTAGTTACACAGTAAGTTTCTCTAGAACAAAGAATTTTGCATCAAGACCCTCTAAATGACTCTGGACTTCCCTGTAGTGACTGTATGCAGCTAACTTAAGGAAAAGGGACGTAAGTGAAAACATCCAAATTTACGTTCATATGTTTTGGGCAAACAGTAACAGGCCTGTTAACATTAACTCAAGTCTCTGATCATGAGCAACAGGAAGCAGAACAGGAGGCAATGGTTTATTGCAATGCAAGGAAAGAATGTGGGATTCTCAAAAGTTAATGAATATCCTGTGCTCAACATAGAAAACATTTCATACACTAGAGCAGGTAGATGAGTTTAGAGTTCGCTGATCATCTTCCAACAATGTCTCACAGAAATGAAATGAAATGAAATGAAATGTGGCCTTGAATACTGCCCACCAGTTTAACGCCTCTGCTCCAGCCACGCATTCCTGCATGGATGAAAAGAAAGTTAAGTGAAATAGTGAGTAATAACAGGCACTAAATGATAGGATTCTGTGATAAACTTACTGCCTACGTAGGTAAGACTCGTCTCCTCTATAGGAGTACTCACGTCATCCACTCATGACGTCCCTGCGTCTGTGCAGAGTCCTGCTGTCAAGGGTAATGGCTAAGCACTTCCACTATGAAACGAGAGACAGGCTTAAAGATTAAAGCAGCTAATACTTAACGAAACCCAACATCAGGACTCATTTTCTGTAAGGTAAATTGGTTCATGCTGTCATACTAGTTTGCCAATTTATAAAAAAAGCACATATGCACCCCTTCAAATCAAATTATTTCCTTACTCATGTCTCTGCGATCTCTTCTGTAGTTCATGTTTCAAATGCAGAATAAATTTTTATTTTATAAAATTTAATATTATATTTAATATTACATAAAAATGGATAAGCTGCATGAACAAAATCAAATTCTACCAAATTTCAGAGACTGATATTCCATGGCCCAATATGGGCCAAAGGGGTGGGGGTCAAGCAAATTGAACCATGTTTATATCATTACATGCACTACATGACCAAAAGTATCCAGACAGCCCTTCAAAACTTGCTTGTGTAGCTTGTGTAACCTCCATTAAAAAGCATTGACCAATAGAATGGTACGGTCAGGAGCAGCTATGCATGAGCCTAAGGTCACCATGTCCAATGCCAAGCATCAGCTAGAGGAGTATGAAGCCCCCCCTAGTACTGAGCTGTGGAACAGTGGAACTGTGCCCCTGGAGTAATGAAGCTCTATCCAGTACCTTTGGGATCAGTTAGAGTTCCAGAACTGATCATCCAATCTCACTAATGCTCTTGTTGCTGAATGCCATCAGATCCTCACAGCAATGTTCTAACATCTAGTGAAAAAACCTTCCCAGAAGAGCAGAGTGTTGGGTGAGAGAGAGAGACAGAGAGAGAGGTGGTGTCTTCCCCACCTTGCAAACTCAAAGCACCTCTATGCACCTTTATGCAAATTCTATGTAAATTAGACAATCTACATATGCAATTGCTGATTAACCATCACAAATCAAGACTATCATAATGCAGACTTGGACTGGTTCAGAAACACAACTGAAAACGGCATCATTCATGAAATTCAAGAGTCGCTATCAGGTTCCCGAGTGGTCACCTTTCACCCAGTTATATGATGATGGAAATGCCCAGTTCCAACTCCTGTATTATAGGCTGCCGCCATGACTAGGATAGACTGAAGACGGGCATAAACAAGTCCTTATCTCGTGCCACAGCCTTAGAGACACAAAGGCTGAAGAACTATATTTCTAGGTGTGAGAAAAAATTATATAAAAAAATATAATAATAATAATAATATTAAACTATATAAAAAATGCTAATTTGATTACGGAAGATCTGGTTGTGTGTGTGAATGTATATGTCTGTGTCTGTCCTGTGATGAACTGGCGACCTGTCCAGGGTGTTTCCTGCCTTCCGCCCAATGACCGTTGGGATAGGCTCCAGCTCCCCTCACGACCAGAAGGATGAGCGGTTTAGAAAATGTGTGTGTGTGATTACGGGAGATAATCTTTATCCCTTTAAGAGGCTGTTACGGCAGCAAAGAAAGACAAACTCCCTATTAACAGCCCTGATTTCTGAAGAAATCAGACGTCTATGAACTTTTAGACAGATGAAGTCAGTTTCCTGGACAGGCATTAAGCCTAGTCCTGGACTACACTTTCCTTTCAATTGAGAACTGCCATTAATGCTATGTAGTCCAAAACCAGACTTAATCCCTGCAACAGATGAGATGCGGCATTAGACTTTCTCAAATGTGTACATTTTAAAGGTCTTCTTCAAATAAACTGAAATTACTTATTTTTTATGATTTCTTCTTGCACTGTACATATCAGATAGAACATGGCCATTGGCACAGACCTTCTAGCTATACCCACAGTGAAATGGGTACAAGTAGGGGAGGTGATATAGAAAGTAATACAATAATATTAGGATACTTTAAGATATTTTCATTATATATGATAAATATCACAATACAGCAACAAAATACTGTCATATTGCCCACCCCTAAGCGAAAGGGCTCTGATGAGCTGAAATCTGCCCTTATCTCCTCTTTTAAAAGCAGACTTCAGACTTCATTTCAGGCATTTAGCTAATTAAGTTTATTTTATTGCTTTATTAAATCTGTTTATTTAGTTTTATGTGATTGTTATTTATTTTTATGAATGTCTCATCTTTGCTTTTCGACTTTGTCTTTTATGGTTCAGATTCTCTGCATGCAACACACTTTGAGCTGCATTTCATTTCAATTTGAACATGTACACTACGCACACACTGCAGTGTTCCAGCAATGAAAAGGCACCATTATCTATAATACAGGACCAAAATACAGGTTGTCTGGTTACCCTAGTTGGAGAACACTAAAATCTATGAGCTTCATCAGAAACCCTCCAAGGGCTACAAATGATCTTGTTTTCATAAACATCAAACATCATAGTTTTACGCTGAACTTTAAATAATTATTTATTTAAAAAAGAAACACACATAGCCAACAGAAAGAAAACAATAGATCACGCAAAAAATGAAACTCAATTTTAGTTGTATACAAAACGTCTCACACCTTTTAAAGCAACAGGAATATCTTCAGGGAATACAAAGGCAAACAGAAACACTGAAAAAGCTGTAAAAATGCAAAACAAGACAGATGCTTTGAATCTTACAAAACATGACTATCAGCATATGTACAACTTTAATACTGCTGTTAAAATGGTGCGTGTGTCTATGAAGGAGGGTCATCTCCATGGATGGCTTTATATTTGGCCATTTCTTCTGGAAAAACCTTCCCCAGCTCAGTGATGAGGAGACTTTTAAATTTCTGCAAAGAAAATTGTTATAATATAGGGGTTAATAAGTTTTTGAAGAGAGAAACTACATTCCAATACTTAAATACTCAAAACTGTTTCCGGAACATCCATCATGGGACTAAAAGTGTGCAGAACTGTGATCTAGACAAAAAATAAAATTAATTTTTATTTTTACTGTGTTGCAATTTTATGAGCAAGTATTTGAACGCTGCGGCATCTAAATCAAAATGTTGCATCATAACGATGCACGACTGTTGCGCCAAGTATTCAGCTGCCTCTAACTTTTGATGTAGCACTTTATTTGATTCATGTTACTTAAGTAAGCAATTTACTAATAATAGAATTAATAGAATTATTAACAGAATAATTAATAGATGCACTGACATGGGAATTTTGGACCGATGCTGATGCACAATACATTTTATATATTTGTCAATTTCAAACCACAAACATTTATAAAAGTATAAATTGGGAGTAAATCTGAATTGCATTACAGAGAAATCTAACATTTATTTGTATAATGCTACAAATACAGTAAAATTAATTAAAAATCCCATATTTTAGCATCTTCACCTAAACATTCTGCTCTTCTGGAGTACATTAAATACACCTTAAATACCAGTTTGAAATACTGGTCAATTCTACAAATCAATCTGAACAATCACCTGTCCACCCAATATGATTCCAATATAATCATGAATTCTTAATTAACACTGATCCATGCAACATTCAATTTGATACTAAAAAAAGCAAAACTTTATTTAGTTAGCGAAAAACTGCACATTTCTAATGCTTGTAAAAACAGAATATTGACTCACTGTCATGGTGTCAATCTTTCCCTTCACTTGCTCGTTTTTAGCCAAGGCTCGTTCCAGGCACTCTTTAGTGTATAGCTGAGGGTTGCGGCCCTGATCGATGTATCTGTGGAGAAAGTTAAAAGCGACACTCATTAGCTGAGGAACGGCAAAATCCAAAATTGATTTGTGCCTGATGTAAAAAAAACCTTAATTAACTGCTGATATGAAATGCTGTAAGATGATTAGGGGTGAGTTTCACATGAGCTGAGCAAACTGAGGGGTTCGCTTCTTTTACAGAGTTATATAAAGTCACGCTGACAGCCCTGAGACCAGCAGTTAATTAATAATGTAAAACTGACCTGAAATAAAAATACTGGACAAGGTAGCTTTAAATGAAGAAGTGGCATGTTTCAATGTATCTATAACCTATTTAACTTTTTTTATATAATTTATTTAATGTATAAATGTAGTGAGTTAACTAAGAATCTGATTGTAGATTACATTTTATTGAACAGCAGCTGAGACTTTTAGTCTACACCATATAAGATCGTTTTATTTTGTATTCTCAGCATTAATATCATTCATGTCTATTTTGCTAGTGAACTTCGTTTCTGACTGTTTGATTAACCTGACTGAAAACTGTCATGCTGAGAGAAGCTGGTCAGGCAGTTTGAGGGCTTTTGTTTACACTACATTATAATGAAAACGTTTAATATCTTGAAATTCTGATGTAATCTAGCAGACAGTATACATGTGAGTTCGCAAATGTTTTTGTTTTTCCTCCAGTGTTTTAATAATCTTACATTCCAATAATAAAATCACAGTTTGTTTGTTGTGCACACTGAAACTATGGCAAACTAAGGAACTGTGAGGAACGCAAGCATCCCTGTAATCAAGAAAAAGACGTTCAGATGTTCAAATCAGATCCACTGGCTCACTTGCAAGGTACAACTCTCCTTCTACTGTTTTCTCCTTAGAACATCCTTTTAAACATATCAGCAGTAAAGATACATTATATAGAAAAAAGAATTGGGACACACCTCTTAGTCACTGAATTCAGAAATTTCATTCAGTCTTATTGCCACAGGTGTACAAAATCAAGCACCCAGCCATGCAGTCTGCCTTTACAAACGTTTATGAAAGAATGGGTCGTTCTAAAGAGCTCACTGAATTCAAGCATGATGCTGTAATAGGATGCCACCAGTGCAACAAGTCTTCAGGCAAAATTTCTTCCCTCCTAGATTTTCCACGATCATCTGTGAGTGGTATTATTGAAAAGTGGAAGTGTTTAGGAACCACAGCAACTCAGCCATGAAGTGTCAGACCACATAAAGTTACAGAGCAGGTTGCCGAGTGCTGAGGAGCACAGAGCATAAAAGTCATCAACGCTCTGCTGACTCAATTACTGCAGATATCCAAACCTCCTCTGGCATTAACATCAGCACAAAAACTTTGCGCTGGCAGCTTCAAGGTATGGGTTTCTATGGTCAAGCAGATGCATGCAAGCCTTATATCACCAAGCACAATGCCAAGCGTCTACCTGAGTGGTGTAAAGCACGACAACACTGGACTCCGGAGCAGTGGAAATGTATTCTGTAGAGTGACGAATCACGGTTCCCTATCTATCAGTCTGAGAACTGATGCCTGCCTGATGGCATTGTTCCAGCTGTAAAGTTTGGTGGAGGAGGGATGATGATATGGGGTTGTTTTTCAGAGGTTGGCCTAGAACCCTTAGTTCCAGTGAAGAGAAATCTTAATGCTTCAGCACAGCAAGACATTTTGGACAATTACACACTTCCAACTTTGTTGGAACAGTTTGGGGAAGAACCTTTTCTGTTCCAGCATGACTGAGCCCCAGTGCACAAAGCAAGGTCCAGAAAGTCATGGCTGGGTGAGTTTGGTGTGGAAGAACTTGACTGGCCCACACAGAGCCCTGGCCACAACCCCATCCAACACCTTTAGGATGAAACTGAGAGCCAGGCCCTCTCGTCCAACATCAGTGTCTGACCTCATAAATCCTCTTCTGGATAAAGGGATCTTGTAGAAAGAAAAATCTTGTAGAAAGCTTCCCAGAAGAGTGGAAGCTGTTATAGCAGCAAAGGCGGGACCAACTCCATATTAATGCCTATTGATTCAGAATGGAATGTCAAACAGGGATGTCAAACCACTAAAACGCCCATATTAAAAAATCTCAACAACTCTGTGGGCCACCTGCGTTTTTATTTTTACTTAACATTGTTCAAAATATGCCAAAACCGTAACAGCAAAATAATACACTAAATACTTCTATAATAAAATAATAATATATAATAATAATATACAATAGGCTTTATATAAAACAATAGGATATGTTAGCTACAAATCACTGTTAAAGCTCTTTAAATGTCCCCAATGTACAGTGGGTTTTTTTAAACCGTCCTGTTTGCTTGAACTAGACATCTTTTCTTTTTATGGTGCTGTCCCAAAGATGCACATTATGTTGCAGAGCATGCTGGGTATTGTAGCGCAGCTAATGGTGGAACGGGCTACTATTGACAGAAAATTAAAATGATTTTGTGGGCCGAATAGGATTGTGCCACGGGCCATACTTGGCCCCCGGGCCTTGTGTTTGACACATGGGTCACGAAAGCTCCTGTAGGTGTCCCAATACTTTTGTCCACATAGTGTATGTATGTGTGTCAAACGTGAAACATGCTGTTGGTTCTGTAATACATTTGCAATTTATTTACTTCACCAGTTGAGCAAGTCTCTGAGAGTAGCTTTAAAATACTTCAACTATCAAACCACTCACTCAAACGCTTCCAAAGGTACGTGGATATCGTTCAGCTGCTGTCGACATTTCTCAACGTCCTGCAGTCCTGTGATCATGAAGTTCCTGCGAAAGCAACGCAACTGATTTATTTGCAGTGAACAAACAATGAAGGTCAACTCTAAGCCATGCTGACTTAAAGGAAAAAAAAAAACCTAAATGGGAAACTGAAGTTGCCAAAAGTAACTGCCCTGATAAAGAGAAAAATATTCAGCTTTTCATGCAATGTAGCATGCACTATAGGGGAATTCCACCAGCTTTTTAAAATTTCTGAACATCTTAGTCCTTGACATGTAAACAAAGTCAGTCAGAGTGGTCGGTGTGAAGTGGCTCACTGTAGAGAAACTTACTGACTTTTTTACAAAGGTGATGATAGGAACCAGCGGTCACTATGTCAACAATATAATTATAACCATTTAATTTACTATCCAAACCACCAGTGAACCTACATGTGTATTCTGAGTTTTTAGATATAATGTTGACAAAGGTAAAATAGTCATAAATCTGAAAAAAAAAAAGCTTTCTTTGGGAGATAAGTATCTGGGGGGACTATTTTGCCTTACAACACCCTGCGTGCACCCCTCCACCATGGATTCAAATAAGTCGATTCAAATAAATTTTAAGCCAAAACTTATTACAAAACTATCATAAAACAATGTGTTAGACATCAGACAGTGTGTTCATAACCATTTAATGTAATAACTCTCTGTAAGAAAGCTTTTAAAGGCGGATGTCTGGTTCCTATCACCACCACTGGACAGTTTGGACTAGGTAAGTGTCTCTACAACGAAGCATTTCACGCCAAATAACTTTGAATGACTTTATTTACATCGTAACCATTTAATTATGTAGAATTTGTAGCCTCTTAAACTCATTGGAACCACCGGTGGTTCATCATATTCTTCATAACTTTCAACAGATGGCGTCTCTTCAGTGATCTGCTCTGTAAAATTATTTTGATAAAATAATACAAAGATTTTTGGCTTTCGGCAGTAAATTGTAAGCATATAGCAATATGTGTGATCATAAAACACATGTTCTGTTAATTTGAGGGGAGCTTTTACAAAAAATAAACAAATAAAATTTACATTTATTTCAGGCAGTTACTGAATAATTTGCCTTACGATTTGGTCATGTAAATTCAGATGGAAAAACCAAAATATACCCTGGAGAATAAGAGGTTAATAGAACAACTCTCTGTGAGAAAGCTTTTAAAGGTGGACGTCTGGTTCCTATCACCACCACTGGAGAGTTCTGACTTGGTAGGTGTCTCTACAACGCAGCATTTCACGCCAAATAACTTTGAACGACTTCTTTTACATCCTAAACATTTAATTATATAGATTTTTTACATTTTTGAACTCGGTGGAGTTTTACGAGAGGTTTGATCACTGTAAGATAAAAATACTGAGCTAGCCTCCAGCTAACCTCTACAAAGCGAAGGGAAAAGCAACATTTAATGCACAAAACTAGGAATACAAATGAAACTTAAACCAGTAGTAATATCACCATAAACTTTACACTTCGTACGTGTCTAAATCCGTCACTGCTCCTCGTCTAAAGTAAACGTTTAGACCGAAAGTGTCGATAAATGAAGCCGACCGAACTCACAGTTTCTGGTTGAGCACAGTTTGGCTGCTGGGCTGAAAATCGCTCACTATGATCCCCAGCTGTCGTATGTTTTCGATGAATTTCTCAAGGTGTTCTTCCAGATTATCGAACTTCTCGGCCATGATGTGGAAAATTATCACAGAAACAGAAACAGAAACAAAACAAAACGACAAACTACGGAGCAGAAACGAACCTCATAGCAACGCTGAGCTAAGCGGCTACGGGCAACCTAGACACTCGCTTTCCGGCAAACCGTGGACCAATCGCTGATAGGGATTCGACAGTCGCCATGGTAACGGATTCTACGGATGTAACGCGCGGCGTCCTGGGCTGCTGCAAATGTGTCGTGGAAAGGACAGCCAACAACACCGAGTTTATTCTTTTTTTTTTGTAGTTCATAAATCAGTGTTATGATTTCGAGCGCTTTTGATCTCATTTTACCACCAAAAAGTAAGAAGAACCGAAATATATACATACATTCATTACCAGGTGTTCATAGAGAAAAGGGAAAAAAGGGGATACAAAATTCCATCACACACACACACACACACACACACACACACACACACATACACACACACACACACACACACACACATACACACACACACACGCACATACACACATACATACACACACACACACACACACACACACACATACATACATACATACATACATACATACATACATACTACAGTCTGTAACTGTAGAACTACAAAGTGCTCCTATATAGTAAGTGGAGCTGATAAAATGGACAATGAGCATAGAAACAAGGAGGTAGTCATAATGTTATGCCAGATCGATGTAAGTTTCAATAAGAAATAATCTTATAATATTCTTGTAATAATCTAAAACTGAGAAATATTACATATTTCGACTACATTAAAGATGCATCCAGGGGCCCCATTCCCGTCTTTCTCCTAGAGCCCAAGAATCACTAAATCCGCCCTTCCCATGAAGCTGCAGTCTGATCACTGTAGCCATATAAAACAAAAGGCACAACTGGGAAAACATGAGCTTCTGCAACCATTTAGATGACCAGTATGCAAATATGAGTGTTTTTATTTATTTATTTTTGAAAGATGGAATTTCAATTGCACCAAGTACTGATGTCCCACTCATGAACAAATTGTTCTTGTGATTCGGTTGTTTTTCAGTGAATCAGTCGAACCGATTCACAAGTCCAAGGGAATCGAACTTCTCGTGTACTACTGTTTACGTCTGTGTTACTCGGGCGGACGACTGAATAATGATCTTTCACACTTCGGCCTCATAACATTAAACATCACATACTGTAACAGATTATGTACCGGCGTTTACACATTCCCTCTGTAACCTGCAACAAGGTGGTTCCTCTCTCTGTTGTGTTTGTGAATCATTAAAAGGCACCGTTCGAACGAATCGGCACGGATGATTCAAAGATTCGAATCAGTTGAATCAATCAAACTGTCATTAATATGTGAGGGTTTGTGTCACGATTTCATGACATTATCTATCTATCATTAGAGTTGTGTCACACGCGTTGTGACACGGCCCTACATATGGCGTGGATGCTACAAAAATCGGTTTGCTAAAAGGAATCGATTCGAAAGAACGATTCGTTCACTACGTCTTTGTACAAAGGCAGCAGCGTGTAGGTGGAGCTGAGGGCTGTAGCTCATTGGCGCAGGCCAGCTGATGCGCTGCAAGTCCAGCCCCCTGTCCTCCTCAGCCCTCACATTCCCAGCGCCACATACTTGATTATTCATTCTGTGCAGGTACAGCGGAAACCGAGCGAGCAGCAGAGCAGCCAAGCAGCCAAGCTACAGTCCGAGTCGTCCGCTGCTGCTGCTGCTGCTGTTGTTTTTACGAGCGTGATCTCTGTCGGTGTCGGATTATCGGATTGGTTCGTTCCATTAGAGCGACAGGGCTGCTGCAACCGCTGCCTTTCAGCAAAGCTTCTAGCTCGGCCAGGACAGAGCAGAGCAGAGGAGCCTGGGGGATCCACCTCCGCAGCCCTGCGCCTCCGACCACCCATCCATCCATTTTTAAGGGGTGCAACATCAAGCAATCATCAACAAGGGTAGGTCATTAAGGGCAGAACAGGTCAAACCATAGGAGCTTCTTGTTCGAATGTTCCCGTTCCACCTTAAATTGTGCAGCAGTTGCATTCTGGCGCCTGCACTATTTAAGGTGGAACGGGAACATTCGAATAGGAAGCTTCGATTGAATGCATAGGATGCTTGCGTGACATTTCATGTGTCTTGTGTTGCGTTTCAGCTCCTGACACGGTAAAAAAGGGGCAGAGATGCTGATGTGCTTCACTGACATAACAGCGTTTTGTGCGCATTTTGCATTTGCAGCATAACAGACTGTCGTGGCGATCTGGGGTGTTGGGGGGGCGGTGAGGGGGACGCGCGTTAAAACGCTTCTTTTGCATTTCAGCTCGTCGGGAACGATGCTTCGTTGAAATCACTGGATATCCAGGGGGGCTGCTCGCACACATCCGAGCTGGTCTCGTCTCCCCCCCTTTCTATTTCCCTCACCTCCCTTCCCCCCCTCCTGCAGCGTTTTGCCCCCCATCCCGCGCCTCCACAAACCCCCCCCACCCCTCCTCTCCTCTCCTCTCCTAACCCCCCTCCCTCCCCACCCCCCCACCCACCTCCCCCTTCAACCCCCGGCACGACTCATGGCTACTCTCCTGCGGAAGATCGGCCTGATCCGGCTGCACGACCGAGACACGGAGGACCCCAAGCACCAACAGGGCTCGCGCAAGGTGGCCAAGCAGGCCGGCCAGAGCCAGAAAGGGGGCACCAAGCACTGCGGCGCGGGAGGAGACACCAGCATCCTGGGCACGCCGGAGATTAAGGCCAAGAGGGCCTCGGACGTCCGGGAGAAGAAGGCGCCGAGCAAGGAGGGCAAGGAGAAGCAGCAGCTGCAGCAGCAGCAACAGCAACAGCAGCAACAGCAACAGCAACAGCAGCAGGAGAAGCAGCCAAAGCAGCATCCTCAGCAGCCTCCTGCGCCCAACCGGCAGCACTGCACGCAGGTGCGCACGCGCAGGCTCATGAAGGAGCTGCAGGAGATCCGGCGCCTGGGCGATAACTTTATCACGGTGGAGCTGGCCGACGACAACCTGTACGACTGGAACGTGAAGCTGCACCAGGTGGACAAGGACTCGGCGCTGTGGCAGGACATGAAGGAGACCAACACAGAGTACATCCTGCTCAACGTCACCTTCCCGGACAATTTCCCCTTCGCGCCGCCCTTCATGCGCGTGCTGGCGCCGCGCCTGGAGAACGGCTACGTGCTGGACGGCGGTGCCATCTGCATGGAGCTGCTCACGCCCAGGGGATGGAGCAGCGCCTACACCGTGGAGGCCGTGATGAGGCAGTTCGCCGCCAGCCTCGTCAAAGGGCAGGTGAGGTGGGAGATGGATGGGTGGGTGGGATGAGGGTGGTTTGGTGGTGCTGGAGATCTGGGTCTGTATTCACAAACCACATCAGGACCTAGGATCAGGGTTTTCTTTTACTATGGACATCATAAACACAGAGGGAACCTGATCTGAGAGCAGCTCTCTGACCCTGATCTGCTTTGTGAATACCAGCAGGATTGACACCTGATACAGGCATATTTAATGAAGATCTACTGAGTTGAATGAACTCGCACAGTGTTGAAATGCCTACAGTGATGAATTCGACACCTAAGGTGCTGAACTGGCATCTGCTGTGTTGAATGACTACATGATTGGTCCTAGAGAACATTTATTCAGCCTTATTTAGAGCCTTAAAGACACCTGGTCACACAGCAAAATCCCCCAGTGTTGAATTCACTCTTGAAGTGCTGAATTAGTTCCAGCAGTTTTTAATTAACTAGTAGAGCTGAATGAACACCTACAGTGTTTAATTAACTCTTTTACTATTGAATTAATACGTACACTGTAGGGGTGGGCAATATGACAATATGTACCATTATTGGGATAAATACAGTCACAGTGTCATCACTGTGGGAACGAAACCTTGTATCTCCACTTTGGCCGTTTTTCTTTTGTTTGACATAATTCGAAAACACCAAATGAGGACGAAATCAGTGACGAAAGGACCAATAGAAATGGTACAAAATCTTTTTACATTAACTCACACTGAAAGAGCGTTAAATGTTTTCTCTTCCTCCTGTAAAGTCATTTTTTTGGAGATATAAGGTTTTGTTCCAACACTGCTGATGTGCTTTTCTGATCATGGATATTGTTTGTGCTTAAAGACAACTGACCACCTGTTTCATTACATAATTAGTCCTGTTTTGTTGGATTGGATTGGAAAAAAATCGTAATCAGTAGATTTTTGCTCAGAACATGCCAATCAGCCAATTTATTATTTTGATTTTGACTGCTGCACTTGTATGATGTAAACAATATAATTGAGGTCTGTTTGAAATTGTCGGTCGCCTCTTACATTTGATTTTTGATGAACTGATTTCTCATCATTTGTAAGTTTAAAATGCCACTTTGGTCCATTAAAGAGCAAATCATGTTTATATTATTTATGTTATTGAGACTTTGGCTAATAGAAAGTACTGTAAATGTAGTAGTAATGTAAAAAAAATCATGATTGATTCATTCAGTCATTTAAATGTAGCAGGACTGGTCCGTTCCAACGAATCAAACCTTGGAAAAAAATGTATCATGAGGCATATTGTGTATCAGGAAAATATCTTGAAGTAGCACGGTATCATGTTTCTGCCATATTGCCCACCAGTACTTTCAGTATTAGCATCCACAGTGTTGAATTCACCCTTTCAATGTTGAATGAACATAGTGTTGAACAAACATGGGCTTTTTCAAGGTTGTTTACACACCCACACACACACACACGCACGCACACACGCACACGCACACACACACACACACACACACACACTATACACACATACATACGTATATGAAGTAATATAGTGTTGAGGAATTAGCTCATGTAGTGTTGAGTTAATAGCTGCTGTATTGAAACATCTACAGTGTTTAAATGAAACAGTAAAAAATACACACCTACAGTGTTGAGTTGACTCATATGGTGCTGAAGTCACTCAGAGTTCATTTGTTTCCAGTTTGACTTCTCTTAAACCCTGTAGGTGTTTATTCAAAGGGGATTTTGCTGTGTTAGCTAGATTAGATTTGTGAGGTTTGGGCTGGAGGTGAAGGTGGATCTTTTGGGAGAAGGTTTTGTGTGGAAGTTCTGAACACAGTGGTGAGCTGGATCAGGTGTGGTGGACTTGGGTTGGAGCTCAAACTCTGCAGGGTGGTAGATCTGCAAGGACTGGCTTATGCCATCTGTCCTTTTTTAGCCCCAGTGGGTAGAAGGTAGGCTGTAAAGGAAATTCATTACAGAGGGAAAAAAACTAAAGCATCTATTGTTACTCGAGTGCACATTTCTCTTTGCATTGTAAGCAGAGGATTTCTCTTACCTTATTATCGGCCTGATTGTTTCCTCACACTGCATCATAAGCAGTCATTGCACATTCTGCTTAACAAATGCAGCAGAATCCAAGACAGCACATGAGAATAGATGGGGCTTATCTGCTCATATGACATGCTGATGGAGGGTTTGTGAAGCCTGTAATTGGTGACATGGAAATGTGTTAAAAATAAGATCAAGGGAAAGAAGCTGACTAGCCACATGTTATTTTAGAGGTGTTGATTATGTTTGTCTGTGCTTCAAGGTGACTAAAAATGCTTTCGTGTGCCAATTTTATAGGCCTTCGCCTTTAGGACAACATTTTCATTAAATTGCCGGAAGCATTCAAGGGCAATTACCAATCTAGACACTGCTAACACAGCAGATTCCCCAGGGAGGTCCGGTGCATAGAAATGTTGCTGCAGATAACAAGAAGGTCCATTATGATAAGCCTTTTCATAGTTACGTTATGCTACAGACATTATTCAGTCATATTTATGATAATTACACAACGTTGCACTTTGTTAGACCTTAGCTGCAAACACTTTATTTGCTGCTTGTCTTTTTTTCTTTTGCTTATGATCGTTGATGAAATTCTGCGGTTGTAAGGAAGCATTTTATGCAAGCCTGTGATGCAATCTAATCAGGCTACTGTCCTCAGCAGCTCGGAGATGTTTGTGTAATTTTAATTAATTTAATGCATCGCAGTAGCTACTACAACTGCGGATTATGATTCTCCTTACCAGCGAGGATGTGCAGCAGAAATCTCCTTTAGTGTTCAGAGAAAGAATCAGTGACGGCATGAAGAGAGACGTCATGTAGTGTGTTTGAAATTGCCAGTAGCCTCTTACATTTGATAGTGATGAATTTAAAATGCCACTTTGGTCCATTAAAGAGCAAATCATGCTATTTATATTGAGACTTTGGCTAATGGAAAGTACTGGAAATGTATTAGTAATGTAAACACTCATGATTGGTTCATCCCAAAGGACAGTGTTATTAAAATGTGGCATGACTGGTTCTTTTTTGTCTGTACCAGCTGATCAAACCTCGTGTAAAATATATGACATCATGATCGCCCACCCCTACTTACAGTCTTAAGATCTACAGTGTTGAATTCACTCTTGTAACGTTGAATGGGTGATTCATATGGCCTGTTCTGGTATTTGGTGATCTTGATGCACTGCTTTTCAGTTTTAGCAATATTTTTGTGCAATATTTCATCAATAATGAGCACTGTATCCATGATATAATATAACACAATAGCAGTGTTACTAAATAGTTTTAGTCATGTAAACTGCAGGGACTGCAATTTGCAACTCACTTTAGATTTTACATTAGTATTAATCTACATAGTAGGTTAGTATAAACTTGGACAATGTAATGATACTGAATTTTATCAATATTGCCCGGCACTAGTATTCTGTTTGTATTCTTTGGTACAACAGGGCTGCTTTGTTCAATGCCTTTTTCTAGAGTGTGTTCTGACCCAAAATTCCCAAAAAGGCTGATAAAGTATTATCAAATTGAATTCCAGTTGTAAACCCAAGGGATTTGTACCTGTCTAGGCTTTATATATGGAAAATGGATTTAGGCTAGATTTTGGCTTTTCCATTAGAAAGGTCTGCTGATATGTTGCCAGGTCTTAATTATGGATGGTTTGGGAGACGTTCATCTTTTCTTGCGTCTTGATGCTTATTGTCACTGTCGTAACATATCTCCAAAATGACAATGGCAACACTTTACTTGAACTCTGCTGGTTATGGCATGGTTTGAAAAAACCATGCCATAAAGATGTCATGGCAGATGTTATAAACTGTCTTGACAGACATTGTTCAGTTCAGGGTTATGTTACGATTATCGGTAATTGTCATGACAGATGCCATAATGTTTGTCAGGACGCTTATGTCTTGTGCAGATTCTTGCTGAGTACTCTAGCCGTCATGTCACCAAATGTTATGGCATCCTATATGACGTTTAACAGTAATGGTAACATGACACCGTTATATTACTAGGAATAATCTACCATGTCCGCTCATGACAGCATACGACATCTGCCATCACCTGTTTATGGTTATGTCCTTGAACCCTGGGCTTATTATTCACCTATACGCCTTGCAATACTGCATATTATTCATTACCACCATTTCTAGGGATGCGCTAAATCGGATTCATATCAGGCTTGTAACCATACAGAAATAATGCTACGTTTCTCCGTAATGCTAATCTAGTTAGATGTGTTCCCAGTTTCTACTTTATGTGTATAGCGCAGTTTCCATATCGGTGCATCCCTAATCTCTATTGATCATCATCATGAACTCCTAACTTTAAGTACAGCTGGTGTAAAAATGAAAAACAAAAAAATGACTTCAGTAGTTTTAATATGACCACAACAATACAGTCCACTGCTTAGTCACTTCACCTTCAGATTTGTCTGTCTGAGGTCACAAACAGGATGTACCCATGAGGTCTTGATGGCGTCATTTAAATCCCTCACAGGCCCGTGTGGGTTATGTAATAACAGTGGCTTGAGTTCACCCACAATGCATAAAGGCCCAATGCGTCCACTGACTGATCCCCATTCAGAAGATTACCCATCTGGCACCTCACACCGCCACCGTGTAGCGCTCAATACATGCTGCACTAAATCAGCTCATGCTAACGTTGTTGCAGGTGTTGCTGCGGGAAATAATGCAGCCGGACCGAATTCTCAGTTCTTTTTCGCACCGCTTGTTCTTGAGCTAAGCCGCAATGCATTGTGGCTTAATTAAGGTTTCGTTAGCTCCTGTTAATCCAAAAATCACAGGCTTTTGTGTGCGCAGTTAGGACGCTCTCCTCACAAGTGAGTGCACTGCATTACTTCTGGGCCATTACGCCGCTGCCTGCCCGGAGAGAGCCTGTGGCAAGAGCAAAGCTATTTCTGTCTCTGCGTCCCCGCTGCCTTACATCAGCAGTGGCACTGGTACGACCCCAC